GTACTGTTACGTAACCGTCGTTAAAAATTTCAATAACTTCTTACTTTGTTTGAGTATCGCAATGTTTCGGACTGAAATCCGGTCTGAAATGATCGCTTTTCAATATAATCGAATTATCTCGTCCCGTCGCCTGAGGAGATATCGTCATTTTCGTCCTGTACGATACGGAAATGTGTATCGTACCTATCGGAGTGCAAAGCTGTCCGACCCTCACTTGCTTATAACCTTCACCTGTCAAAAAAAAAAGTAAAGAAAAAATTTTTAAAAAACTCGTGCAAAATACGCACAATTTACAATTTCACAATCGACACACAAAAAAAAATAAAAATAAATTTCAAATGCAATGCATTACATTATCATCATTATCATTAATGGTATTTCATTTTTCCTTCGAAAGAGAAAGAGAGCGAGAGAGAGAGAGAGAGAGAGAGAAAAAAAAAAAAAATTTTTTTTTTTTACAAGTCATCGAAAATTTTTCTTTTTTATTCAATTTTTGAAACTATGTCAAAAATTTCACTTCAGCGGGTTCAGGTACGATTAACAACCTACAAAAATATTTTCGCGTTCAATTACCACGTTTTACCTTATAAAGTCGTGGAAAAAACTTCATCATCATCATCATCATCGTGTTTGAACGTTTGAATTTTAATTTCTCCCCCCCCCCCCGAGTTCTTTCAAATTTACACATTGTAGTAATAGTCTTTAGACTTAAATGTAACATTTTCAATTTTAACTCTTGTTTTCATCATCGTTTCAAATCGAAAAAATCTCATTTTCGAAGGGGTGTTCGGTTACAAAAAAAAACGGAAAATTCTTTCTTAAAAGATCGATAATTGTTTTTTTTATATTTTGTGATGCTTTGTGTCGAAGACGATCGTGTTTTCCGATCGAAACTCCTTCGATTTATTTCTCTCTCTCTCTCTCATACGCACAACTTTTTATAACTGGCCTTTACAACAGCGATAACGACTATTAATAAACAATTGAAATTTGTCAATATGTAGTAACTGAGAGAGAGAGAGAGAGAGAGAGAGAGAGAGAATCACCTTGGATGATGTGAATCACCTGATTTTTAATATAACCCAAACGTTTCTTCTTTTTCGAACAAAGAGAGAAAGAAGAGTCCCTCATCAAGGTTTTCACCAAGACTGAGAATTTATTTTCTCGAGACCATGGGGGGACAAAGTTTTTCCTTTTTTTTTTTGGCAATGTTTTTCCTTTGTCATTATTTTCCTCTTTTTCCATTGCACTCAATAAAAAAATCTTATCGCATTTTTTCTTCTCCGAGTAATAAAGTTCGGCGTATTTTTAAAATTATCACAAAAGATTAAGTAACGTTTAATATTAAAAAAAAAAATAATAATAATGATAATAAAATCGTTTTATGCATTTATCGTGACATTTAAAAGGGAATAAATAATAATAATAATAATAATAATAATAATAATAAATTTTTGAAATACACCGTGTGCGTTGACACGCAGATAAAAATTTCTATTGACAAAACAATATTCAGTTTCCTACCCTAATAATTTTTCTTTTTTTTGTTAAATTCGAACCCACACATGCGTACACACGCACACACGCACACGCACACACCGTGAGAAATAATACTATATCAACAATCAAAAAAAAAAAATCATTCAAAACCTAAACTACACCGACATATCCTCTTTTTAAAATACCTGAATTCATCTTTTTCCCTTCTTTAAAACTTTCGACAACTTAGAGGGGTTAGTTGGGGGGGGGGGGTTGGGAAACTAGAAAATTCTCTAATAACCATTTACGGTCCTTCTTCCCCCCTCAATAACAATTTTTTTACGTTAAAAATTTGATTTTCCAGATGGAAATTCATTTACAAGATTTTTTCTATATTTAGACTTTAATATGGTATCCAAGGTCGTGTGATTTCTAATATTAACTTGTGTTTATTCGAACGAAAAGTGAAAAATAATAATAATAATAATTACCTTTTAAAATTATTATTATTATTATTTTTTTTTTTTTGTACTAATAAATATTTATTACGTGGGTAAGTGAGATTGAATCACTTACATTTGTGAGCAAATATATATAAAAATATAAAAACTTTATAAATAAAATTCATGTCAATCAACTCTGTGACCTATCATCTCCTTATGAAACAGAGAGAATAGTTATCTAACTAGGGGTTATTGTTAACAATTTTTATGCTTCTTCTTTTTCTTCTTTTTTTTTTTTTTTTTTTTTTACAGCAAGCATATTTAAATTAGAAAGTGTTTTTACTATTATTTCCTTTTCTCACACACATTAATTGTTTCCTTTTTATTTCCATTTTTTTTTTTTTTTTATTACGCTTTCCAACGCCTTACACCACCTCGCCCTAACGACTCTTTCGTCGTAATATAACCATTTATTTACGACCCAGACTCTTTTTTTTTTTTTTTTCATTTTCTTATATTTAATTATACATAAAATAAAATAATAATGACCGTCTGCCGTGAGAGTGTAATAATAATACTAATAACATCGTCATAAAAAACCGAGAAAAGGATTCGTAATAATTTTTATCACCCAACGAAGTTGCCTCTAAAGAATTTTCGCGCTTTTCTTTCAAACCTTTCCTTTCCTTTCCTTTCCTTTTTTTTTTTTTTTTTTGGATTCTCACGCGTGACAAGAAAAATTTTGAAAACCGTCAACCGTTCATTAAAACCAATTTTTAAAAAAACTCACCTAAACTGTGCAATTGAGGTTCTCCCCTGTATATCCTATAACAAATCACATACGAATCCGGACTTTGCCTCCTGGATAATTTATACGCTGGCGTAACCCTAGTAACTGAAACCAATGATTTTAACAAAATTCCCATTCTATTGTACACTGCGTAAGTCATTCTGGGGTCGCATTGTTCGGGTAAAACACCTGAAATCATAAATAAAAAAAAAAATCATTTTTTTTCTTCTCCTTCTTCTTCTTCTACCTCTAATCATCGAGACATTAATAATTCATTAATTTATAATTAATCGCTTAGGAAATTTTAAAAATTCCGAATCTAAATCTTCTTCACATTTGACTAGCTTGAACGATTAAAATCGTGAAATTAATTAATTTTAAAAATGATTTATAAATTTCATTTATAAAAAAAAAAAAAAAACAAGTGGATGTCCTTAGACGGTGAACCGAAGGCCAATAGGAAATCACCTTGGCCGGGTCACATTTTCTTTAAAAAAATCAAATACTCAATTCAAATACGTTTTTAACATTTACTCACACACAGGAAGTCAAAACAAATTATATATTTATTTATTTATTTTTTTTTTTTTGAATTCGTGAATCCCACAAGAAAATAATAATAATAATAATAAAAGTTCACTTTTGAATATAAAAAAAACAAGCTTTCCTTCAAATCACGTGCTATTAACGTAATTAATTTTTTTTTTTTTTTTTGGTAAAAAATTGAATATAGAAAAAGTAAAAGAGAGACCCTTTCAAAGAACATTATGAAAAAGGAAGAAAATTTGTTTGTATCAATTATCCAAGTATCATTAAAAAAAGTAAAAGCCCATTGTTCGAAAGCAAAACAAAAAACAAACAATTTCGTAACGTTTTTTTAAAATAATTTTATGCAAAGAGAAATTCATTAAAAAAAGAAAAAAAAATTATTTAAATTTTGTTTTCTTTTCTTTAGGTACTCGTGACCATAATTTCTTATCAGGAATTTTTTTTTTAATTACTCCTGTAACGGTATGTGTGAAAAAGTGATTGATTAATTGTTTTTCTCGAAACCGTGTTAAAGTTAATCGAAATACCTGACAATAAGTTTGAAAAATTTATTTACAACTCCCCACAGGTACAATAATAATAAATAAAACCCATCGGACAAATAATAATAAGTAAAATGAAAATTTAATTTAAAAAAAAAAAAAAAAAAGAAAAAAAATGAGTTGTTGACGTTGTTGTTTTAATCATATAAATAATAGTTTGACGAACTCTCAAACGTAACGGAAATAACGAACATTATATTTCCTTTTCGAAAAATATTTTAATTTTAAATTAATAATAATGATAATAATAATGTCAAAGAACGTATTTAAACGTAAATTTAAAAAAAAAAAAAAAAAACGAGCCAAAGGTTTTACCAACTGGTATTTTTATATAAAAATAATCCTAAGGTCACCATTCACTGAAGGACGGTTGTTCACTCTCGTTTTTTCCTCTCTCTAAATTTTTCTTTTTTTTTTTTTTTTTTTTAAATAACTACTTACGATCGATACCTAACGAGACCTTTTAAAAATTTCCCTTCCAGGTACGAAATCGGAACAAGAAAAAAAAAAAGAATCGATACTGATTTATTACTTTTTCTTTTTCGCGCACTCTTAGGCCGTGTTAGCCAATTTTTTTTTTTTTTTTTATTTGAAACCTCCTATCCCTTTTAAAAATATTTCCTGGTAGCGCGTCCACGTGTGTATTTAACACACGCACGCGCACAGATTTTCTTTCTTTTTTTTTTTTTTTTAAATTATTTTCCCCACTTTTTCCGAAAGTTATTATTATAAGATGGCGGAAAATGATTATTATTACCTCAGTTAATTACCGACTATAAAATGTTTACAACGTAAAAAAAAAAAAGTCGTAATATTTCATTGCGTTTTTTCAAAATGTCCTCCCCCCCCCCCGTTATCCAACCTTGAAATGAATAAAAATAAATTTTAAAAAACTATTTATTTAAGGTAATTACTAAATTATAACAAGGTTTAATTATATAACAAGGTTTCCTAACAATAATAATATTTTCATTTTTATTTAAAAAAAAAAAAAAACTATAATAATAATAATAATAGTTTTCAATTTTCGAAAAGACATTTTCAACGTTTTCCTTTCCTTTCTTTTCTTTTCTTTTCTTTTCGTTATACTTTCAATAATAAAACTTCAAGGCTGATTATTAAATGGCGCCAATGTTTGGCATTGCAACAATTTTTTTTCTTCATAAATTTTACAGGTTAAATAATTTTTTTTTTTTATCGTCGTCGTATCACAGAATTTAAAAGTTCTTTTTTTTTTTTTTTTCTTATGAATTAAAGATTCTACTCGTTCGTTTGTACTCTTTTTTCATCATTTTTTTTTAAAAAAAACAAACAATTACGAAATTGGTTTTTTTTCTTTTCTCTCTCTCTCTCTCTTAAATTTACATCATTAAAATCAACCGTTTGTAATGAATGTATGTCCCCGTTAAAAAATTTATAAATAATACTAACTAACTCTATTACGTCATAAACTCTATTTTTAAAAAAACTACTACAAATAAATGGCAAAAAAAACCGAGATACTCATTTAATTAATAACAACAACGTTCTGGAAAATCACTTACGAGAGAAAATCGAAAAAAAAAAAAACGTAAATAATAAACTTCTTTTAAACATTAATAATAATAATAATAATTTGGCATGGAAATCGTGCGTGCGTGCGTGCGTATTGTTAAACATCATTCGATTTATGTATACATAAATTTTTTTTTATTCATTCGACTCACGCATTTAAAAAAAAAAAAACATTAATTAATTTTTTTTTTTCGTTTTAATCTTCCTCTCCCCTTCCGCCTTCCGCCTCCCCCTCCCTTCGGAATAAATTAACCGTACGCGAAATGTAATGAAATAACAACAACAACAACAATAATAATAATAATAAAATAATTCAATTTTCTTTTCCAACACGTTACATAACTCGCGAACGAAACAAAAGATTTAAATAAATTATTATTATTATTATTAAAGCTTCCGTATGTTTTTATAATAGAATTTTATTTACATAACCCATACTACATACACACGTCCACAAATCGTCATCATCATCATCATTATTATTATTATTATTAATAAATACGTGTTGGAAAAATTTAACGATTGAATCACGTCGATTTCTTCGATTTCTCGTTTTTTATTCACATTTCAACAAAAAAAAAAAATATTTATACGTATTTTTTTTTTTTTATTAAACCGTTTCGGACATTTTTTTTAATTCATCCGTATTTGGAAAATTTCACGCTAAATTTTTAATTTTTTTTATTGTCAAAACCGCTCTCGTGTGTCTCGCAAAATAAATTTGTCATTCGTTCAATTTTCTTATTCGAAATGCATTTCCTTCCGATAACTTTCTAAAAAAAAAAAAAAAAGAATTAAAACATCCATTTTTTTTTTTTTTTTTTTTAAATATTTTCGTTCGTTTAAATACTTTCACCTCCACTCAGACGACACTCTCCAATTATAAATAAATAAAAAATAAAATTAAAAATTAAATTAATTCAATTGAAAAAAAATTTCTCTTCGATTTTTATTTTATAATAAATAAAATGGCGGAGGTGGAAATAACTCAAATTGTGACGTAAAAAAAAAAAAAAAAAAAAAAAAAATTTCTTCAAAAGTTAATCGCGAGAGTGAATGACGGGCATGATAATTTCAAACGTGGCATAAATTTCGAGTGATAAAAAAAAAAAATAGAACATCCTTATCACAAACATTTAAAAAAAGACTTAAACGTTTAGGTTTCCCACAATTCCACTTTACGACATAAATTCAAATAAATAATAATAATAATAATAATCATCGTTTGTTAACTGATTTCCCGTTTTCTTTCGAAAATCCCGAAAAAATTTTTTCCCCATCATAGAAATTACCATCATTATTATTATTATTTTTTCTTTTCTTTGTTTTTCTTTTGAGATTGCATTATAAAAATATTTTGAAAATTTTTACCCGAACTTATTTATTATTTTTTTAAATAAATTTAATGCAATAATACCAAAATAAAAAAATAAAAAAATGCATTTTAAATATTATGTAAAAGAGAGAGAGAGAGAGAGAGAAAAATTTCTGTTTCAACTTTCTACTTTTTGTTGAAACGTCGTGTTTTCCCTCCTTTTCAAAAAAAACGCATAATTTTTCTCTCTCTCTCTCTCTCTTTATAAAGACGGCGACCTCTCAAGCCATTCAAGCATTTTATTATTATTATTATTACG